GGCCTCTCCGGGCTGAGCCTCTCCGGGCTGGGCCTCCTCCGGGCTGAGCCTCTCCGGGCTGGGCCTCTCCGGGCTGAGCCTCTCCGGCTGGGCCTCTCCGGGCTGAGCCTCTCCGGGCTGGGCCTTCCGGGCTGGGCCTCTCCGGCTGAGCCTCTCCGGCTGGCCTCTCCGGGCTGAGCCTCTCCGGGCTGGGCCTCTCCGGGCTGGGCCTCTCCGGGCTGGGCCTCTCCGGGCTGAGCCTCTCCGGGCTGAGCCTCTCCGGGCTGGGCCTCTCCGGGCTGAGCCTCTCCGGGCTGGGCCTCTCCGGGCTGGGCCTCTCCGGGCTGGGCAGGTTCCCGGCTCCGGGCTGGGCCTCTCCGGGCTGGGCCTCTCCGGGCTGAGCCTCTCCGGGCTGGGCCTCTCCGGGCTGAGCCTCTCCGGGCTGGGGGGCTCCTGTGCTCCGCAGGGAGCGGACCTCGGGGAGGGGGAGGCGGGCAGACCAGGGCGGAGAGAGCCCCGCTGGCTCACTCGGGCTCCTCCCGGGGCCCCGGAGGCGGGGAAGCCGCGCACGGCCACCCTCATTCCCAGCTGTCTTCTGGGGACTTCGGAGTTTTTCCTCTGCTTTCTCCATCTTTCCATTTCTCAGCTGTTTCCGAAACCACACTGACATGAAGTTGCCATGGAGAGAACTCGGACACTGCCCCCAGCCCCCCCCCCCCTCCCCCCCCGCCCGGCCCTTCTGAATGCTCCCCTGCCCCGCCCCGCGAGCCCTGGACCTGCCCGCCTCGCTCCCGCTCCGGCCGTCCCGTTCTCCTCACCTGGCCTGGGCCTGTCTGGTGGTGTATGGCTCCCAGAGGCAGGGTCCAAGCAGATCAACCCCACCCGGCCATGGCAGGCAGCCGCTCGGGGGAGGGGTTCCCCTGGAAGAGCAGGCGGAGTGGCTAGTGACTAGGCAGCGTCGGAGGGGCTGGCTACGTGCTCTGAAGGCTGGGGGGTGGAGGGGCGGCAGCCGTGACCTCCCCAGCCCCAGCAATGGCCGTCAGCAATAAAAGTTGTGTGAACATGTTGTCGCTGGATTTGTCCTGGTACCCGAGGTAGGAACTTGAGATGGTCCACGCAGCTGCCCAGACATCCTCAGCGTGGGTTCTGAATTTTGGTTCCTCGGCGTTGGGTTCGGCTCACTTCATCATCCATTCCTTTATGGATCCATGCACCAACCGCATCAGGCTGGGCTGGACCAGGTGCCCCGACCAGGCCCGGGGATACGAAGACACAGCGGCGGCCTCAGGGGCTCACGGCTGCGTCGACATGGTGGAAGCTGTGGTTGAGTCTGGGCACCGCCCGTGGAGCACGGATGGAGCAGCCACCAGTGGTGCCTGAGAGGCGAAGGCCTCCCAGAGGAGGCGAGGTGTGAGGTGCATCCTAAAGGGCGGCGAGCAGACAGAGCGGACGGCGATGGGAAAGACATTCTTGTTCTGTCCTTTCTTCCTTTCCTGCGCCTGCCTTTCTCCGCCTCCGACTTAGCGGCTCCGGGAGAGGCACGTTCACAAGGAAGCCCCAGAGCTCACTCAGCTTTCCCAAGAGAAACGGATGGGTGGTGCCTGGCTTCTTCGGAGAGATGGGTTTCTTCTTGCTCTGCGCTTACTGTTTCCTGCATTTACTACACTGACCTGCACCATTGTGATCCCACTGATGGGTGCCCAGTTCCCCGGACCTCCAGGACACACGCAGCCTCCGGCCACCAGCAGAGAACTCCCCAGGCGGCCCCGCCCGGGCCTGGCCGTGTCTGCTTGCTTTGGTCTCTCATTTTGATGCCAGGGCCAGGCCTCCCTCCAATTCTTTTTTAAAAAACAAATAGTTCATAAGGTTCTTAAAAATATTTTTGTTGATTTCAGAGAGAAAGGGAGAGGGAGAGATAGAAACATCAATGATGGGAGAGAATCACTAATTGGCTGCCTCCTGCATGCCCCCTACCAGGGATCAAGCCCACAACCCGGGCATGGGCCCTTGACCGGACTCAAACCCAGGACCCTTCAGTTCACTGGCCAATGACCTATCCATTGAGCCACACTGGCCAGGGCTCCAATTCTCTTTTTGCTTCATTCAAATAAGAAGGTCTGAGGAGAGGGTAGATGCTAGGCCTACTGTGTCTCCAGGAGGTGTAACCAGCTCCTGGAATGGATCTAGCATTTCCCACAATCTCAGTGGCTTAACCCAATCAGTTTCCTTCTCACCCGCCTAGCCATCCAGTGAGGGTGTCTGCTCAGGGCAGGCTCTCCTCCACGTGGTTTTCCAGGGATTCAGACTCTTCCCACCTCATGACTTTATCGGCTGCTTCTGCTTGGGCGGCGGGGCGGGGGAGGGGGTGCGGGGGGAGAGGAAAGGAAGCTCACCACTCCCTACATGCTCTGCTCAGACGGTGCACAGCTTTTTCACCCACATTTTACGGGCGTCGACCTCCCTAGGGAGCCGCCTCAGTGAAGTGGGCCGGTCCCACGCCAGAGCATTGGGGACAGCAGCCGTCTCTGGTCATCGGAGGAAGCTGGTCCTTCCAGAAGGAGGCCTAAAGGAAAAAATCGGGCTCGGGCCGTTTCTGTTCCTTTCTCCTTAGACCCAGACCTGGCCTCCTCTCTCAGGCTTCCTGGCGTAGATGGATTTGCAGGGTGGGGAGCATTAGGGAATGTCTGGGTGGGGAGCAAGAAACACATTCCTTAGCCCCGAACGGATGTGCATAGAGACTACAAACATCAGGGAAGGGTGATGGCACTTCCCAGATTGGTTCAGAATCTCCAGGGACGTGTGTGTGTGTGTGTGTGTGTGTGTGTGTGTGTGTGTGTGATGGTGGGAGAGGTGATGCTGTCCTGTGGTCCCTGGGTCCCAGGCACCTCCAGGTACCAGTCAAAGTCTCTGGCTTTGTCAACCCTGTTGACTGCTGTGTTCCCCTGGGGAGGGGGAGGGCGCGTGAGTGGGCGGGGGTGGGGCAGACGACAGCTCTTGGGAAGGACAGCCGGTCCCAGCTGAGCTGCCCATCAGCGGCCTGTGGGGCCCGGTTAGATCCGAGGCTGTTGTTTCCCATCATCGTGCAGACGACGCCCTGATGCAGGTGGGAGGACACAGACGCAGGCGGAGAGCTCCTGGGAGTGACAGCGAGGGGACGTGATCACAGCGAGCCCTCGCTGAATGGCTGCTGTGCGCCAGGCGCGAGCTGAACACCTGATGTGTGACCGCCCGTCGCATGAAGCAGGCGGTTATTGTTGCTACTATGCAGGAAGACACAAGGGAAATGAAATAAGTGTCCCCAGACTATAAGTAGTGGCGCTGACCTTTGAATCCAGGCTGTCCCGTTTGAGAAGCTACTTTTCAAAATCAGGTGGAATCCCAGCGCTCTGTGACCTCATGGGGTCTGCCTCCTGGCCGTGGGGGTCCTTCTGTTCTCCGCTGGACCTCTGCTGTGGGAGGGGCCGGGGGCAACTCCCCAGAGCGGCTGGCACACCCCTCAGAGTGTCACATGGCCAGAGGCTTGGACCATGCAGTTTCCAGAACCTGGGACAAGTCATCACGAGTGGGAGGAGGCCCCCTCCACCTCCCACCCTCATCCCAAGTGGGTGATTTCCGGAAGGCTCGCCCAGGCCATGACAAGCTGTCAGGCCAGACACCTCCATGTCACCTTGACGTGGGTGGGTGGCTCTGAGAGGCACATGCCACTCATTCCCTACTCCTCCGCACGCCCAGGCTCCCTGTTCCTGGTAATCTACGCCCCACCCCCCGCCCAGGCAGCAGGCTCCATGCTGGTCTTACCAAGGGCCTCCCCGAGAACATGGGGGACCATGCTCTGCAGAGAGGCAGCTGGACTGTCCGGGCAGGAGGCTTTATCAGATGAGTCCTCCCAGAGGGGCGGGCAGGGCCTGGCGTTGGCCTCCACAGCTCCCACTGGGGATTGAGCCTGCAACTCAGGCATGTGCCCTGACCGGGAACTGAACCATAACCTCCTGGTTCATAGGTCGACGCTCAACCACTGAGCCCGCTGGCTGGACTGGGAATCTCCTTTGAATAAACCCTTCTAATTATACACGCTGTAGAGGAGAGAGCACTGGAATCAGAATGGAAGTATCTGGAGGTACAAATTCCAGCTCCACCACTTACATAGCCGTGTGATCTGGGACAGGCCGACCTCTATTTCCTCGTCTGTGAAATGGGTGTGTCTGCCTCACTGTTGCAGGATTAAGTGGGATGTTACAGGTAAACACTCAGGGCAGTTATTGGTGTAGTGTGACCTCTCAAAAATGTTGAATTTGCAGCAAGAGGGCCAGGCCCTTCACCTCCAGGTCCCTTTACAGACAAATGAGATAGGAGAGGAAAAATCGGATAAACCTTCAGGTCTCAGGAACATTTACCATTCCTCTGCATGAACTGGCCCTCTCGGTCTTATAGGAATGGGCTGATCTTCCCTGGAGGTGACATGGGCAGATGGACGCCCCCTAGTGGTGGTTTCTCTAGCTTCACTGAGTGGAGCTCACCCTGCTCTCTCATCCAATGGACCAGAATGGCTACCTGGCCCTGGCCCTGCTCCAGTGGCATCTGACTGATTAGCCAATGGAGCCAACATGCAGGGCCGTGAGGGGACACACATTCACGTCCTCCACAGACCCCTCAACCACTGGCCCCGGCCCCATCACGTCAGCGAATCGCCACGTGGCCACATCTGGTGGACACTGTGGTTCTCATCTTCCTGGCACTTTCTGCAGCGTTTACGGTGGAGTGCTCCCTGCGTGGTGCAACTGCCACGGCTCCTCCCAGCTCCCCTTCTGGAGCGCTGGCTGGGCCTCCCGTCGCCTACAGGCTCCTCCACAGAGCTCGGGGGGGGGGGACCCCCTCAGGGCTCTTCTCAGGTAAAGGCTCACGGGGTTACCTCATCCATCCCTGGGGCTTCCAACTGGCATCTGTGGAGCCAGCAGGGATTTGCTCCATGTCAACTAAGATACAAGAACCATCACCTTTCTTTTTGAAATCAAATCAGCCCAGCCAGCATGGCTCAGTGGTTGAGTGTCGACCTATGAACCAGGAGGTCACGGTTCGATTCCCAAGCCAGGCACATGCCAGGTTTGTGGGCTTGATCCCCGGTGTGGGGCGTGCAGGAGACAGCCAATCAGTGATTTTTCTCTCATCATTGATGCTTCTATCTCTCTCACCCTTGCGGGAAGCCAATCCCAGCATGTCAGCAGGGCTGAATCATCTGGAATGGCTGAGGGCATTTCCTCAAGCCTGAAAGGGATGCATGAATGATTGCTTGCTGCCAGACAGCTAAGGGCATCTTAATCTGCATGTTATTGCCTCCTCCTGGCCAAACACCTGGACAGCCAGAGGTAATTCACCAATCTGACAATGGACTCTGTAGACTAAACCCTGGCCTTTGATGTGTGTATCTACCTTCCCTTAGACAAATGGTGTTAATAAAGGGCAAGGGGTCCTGAGACAAGGGAGAACTTGGTTTCTTTAGCCAAGCTCCTCTGCGCCCCCCTCCCCCCAAATGCCTTTCAAAATTATGTGTCGTCTCTGGACTCTTCTTTAATTTATGCACAGCACCTCTCCAGTTCCTGAACCCTTCTAGATGCTGAATCAAGGACCACGGCATTACTCCCTCTCCCCTTCTTCTGTGAAATAAAAAAATATATATATTAAAAAATATATACATAAATCAATAAAAGCAGATTGAAGCCTGGTGAACGGCAGCAGCCTGGCCAGAAAACATCCCTCGCCATGTTCTCCCGGGACACGCCACCTGGGAGAGCCTGCCCTCTGCTCCCAGGCTGGCGGCCTTCCCAGGCGCCCGCGGGGGCTTCACAGGCCAAGGGAGCAGCGCACACACCTGCTCTTCTCTGAACCCCTGGCCTCAGGGGTCCCACCCTCCCCGTCAGGCTCAGGCCTGCCTCCTACTCACATTGCCCAAGGCCTAGACATTCTCTTTTGGGTCAAAGCCATTCTTTCCTTATGAGATCACGATAGAAAATGAAGAGGAGCATAGATCTCCAGAACTTCGTACAGATTTCCACGTCCCCTGAGTTTCCGTTCCTCTGGGTGGGATTGTTGGTCGTACGGTAATTGTATGTTTGACTTTATGAGAAACTGGCCGGCTGTTTTCAGAGGGATGTACCATTTTCGATCCCACCAGCAAGGCAGGAGTTCCAGTTGCTCACGTCCTCGTCAGTAACTGGTATAGCCAGCATTTCTTATTGTAGCCATTCCATAGGTGAGTAGTGGCATCTCATTATGCTACTAATTTGCATTTCTCTCATAAGTGGATACTAGTCTTTGATAGACATGTGATTTGTAAATATTTTCTCTCCATGTGGCTTGTCTTTTCATTCTCTTAATTTTGTCCTTACAAAGCAAAATTTTTACTTTGGTGCCTTCTAACTTAGCAATTTTTTTCCCTTTTGGATTGTGCTAGGAAGTCTTTGCCAAACCCAAACTCATGAAGAATTTCTCAGATATTTTCTCTCACGAATGTTATTGGCTCATGATTTACCTTTGGGACCTAGTTATTTGGATCCTGTTGAGGTGGCGATGAAGGTCCATGGTGTTGCTTGTTTGCTTTTGAAGGGAGCCCAGTGGCTCCAGCGCCATTTGTCGGAACTGTCCTTCCCATCCAATTCCTTTGCATTTTGTCAAAAGCCAACTGAGCATCTCTGTGTGCACGTAGTTCAGACTCTTCGTGCTGTCCCACGGATCTATGTGTCTGTCATTTCACCAGTGCCACCCTGCTCCACGGCTATGCTTTCTAATAGGTCTCAAAGTTGGGTACGTGAGTCCTTCAAATTCGTTCTTTTTTAAAAATTATCTTGGCTATTCTAATTCCTTACATTTCCATAGAAGTTTTAGAACCAGATTGTCTATAGCTACAAGGAATCCTTGGAATTTTGAGGTTGCATTAAGTCTGCAATCAATTTGGAGATAATTAACACGTGACCTATTGAGCCTTCCAAACCATGAACACCGTATGTCTCTCCATTTTTTAGCTTTTCTTTCATTTATTAAAAAATCTACGTTTTATAGTTTTCAGCATTCATTATACTGAAATGTACCTATTTCATTATAATTATAGACTAAGTGTTTAATTACATGTTAACATAAATAATATTTTTATTAAAATAACTATTTTTCAAAACAAAATAATTAAGAGAAGAGTGGCATTGTTTTACATTTTTGCACATCTCTTGGTGTCTGGCTTCCTAAAGTAGCTGGATCCTCACACTTGCTTCAGTTTTCAATCTGTTCTAATATGTTGTTTTGGTTGAAATATATGAAAAAATTCTAATCTCACACAGATGTAGGGTTGGAAAGTGGAAGATTATTTTTTTATTTTATTTCTTTAATATATTTTTATTAATTTCAGAGAGGAAGGGAGAGGGAGAGAGAGAGAAGCACCAATCATGAGAGAGCCACACAGGCTGGGCAGAAAGTGGGAGGTTATCGTAACAGTCCTCTCAGATAATTGTGGAAACTTTTCTTTGCTACGATGCTCAAGCCGACGCGTGAGCGCTTCTTAAAGGTGAGTTTCGCTGTGGAATTGAAGCCTGTGGATGAGCTTTGGTTACATTAAAATCTCGGTCTGTGTGCAACCTCAGTGGGTCTTGTACCAGGTCTAACGCTGTCACATTTGGAAATGTTGGTTTTGCCTAATGAACATCTTCCAGCTGTTGACAGTTTCATTATACACGAGCAAAGCAATAGTATTAACATCCGCACTCACCTCATCAGGAAAGCCTCTCAGGGCTGGGCTGTCAGGCTCATGGTGAAGGATGCACATTTTCCAAACTTTTCATTTTCAGCTGGAACGTTAAACTGTTTCATTAGCAGTAAATACTGTCGGATGTTTTCCTGGAGGTAACAAGCTCATTTTGTTGATTTTTGAAAAAATGATTGCCAACTACTGAGTCTGGATCATCGTAGCTTGTCAATTTTCGCCCAGTAAACATGGTGCTTCGTGAGAGGAGTGGCTAGTCGAGCGTGCAGCTCAGCAGCACAAGTGCTTTCATATTCTGGTTTGCAGCACAGTGCTGTATGCAGACTTCCCATGCTTCACCTCAAAACTTAAAAACACATGCATTCTGGATTGAGGTAATATTATTAATAGTAATTTTTAATAATTAATGCTTTCTACTGCTTCATCAAGGGTGTTCCTTTTTTAATATACTAGTACATTTTTTATTTTAGAGATGAGGGGAAGGGGGAGAGAGAAAGAAACATCAATGATGAGAATCACTGACCAGCTGCCTCCTGCACACCCCTCACCGGGGATCAAGCCCACAAACCTGGCATGTGCCCTGACCGGGAATCGAACCGAGACCTCCTGGTTCATAGGTCGACGCTCACCCCCTGAGCCACAGGCCGGGCCTTGGAGGGTGTTCGTAAGTGAGGCGGCACGCCCGTGGTGGTGAAGGACACCGACCGCAGCCCGCTTCCTGCTGTTGCCTTGATGTCTGTGAAGGAGCAAGCAGTGTCGCCCACCTTTTGCTGTGCTCCAGCAGAAGCCAACCATGTGGAAAAGGCAAATGCCATCAGTAGCATTATTATGACAAGCCTCTGCCGCTGCGGATCCCCGGAAAATGTCTCGGGCGGCCCAGGGGCCTCACACACCCTGGAGCACTGGTGCCTCAGGCCACGCACAGACAGAAACGGGGACCTGCCGTGTTGACTCCCAGGCACTTCCTGGGAATTCTATTGAAAGTGGTTAAAATATATGAAATATTCATATATAATAAAGGCTAATGTGCAAATTGACCCCACGCCCTTGCACAAGATGGCCACCCCGTGTGGTCAAAGATGGCCACCATAAGATGGCCGGCAGGGAGGGTAGTTAGGGGTGACCAGGCCAGCAGGGGAGGGAGGGCAGTTGGGGATGACCAGGCCTGCAGGGGAGGTGGCAGTTAGGGGGGACCAGGCCAGCAGAGGAAGGCAGTTGGGGTGACTGGAGCGCAGCTGAGGGGATAGGAAGGGCAGTTGGGGGGACCAGGCTGCAGGGAGGTCAGTTGGAGGGGTGGGGACCAGGCTAGCAGGGGAGGGCAGTTGGGGGTGATCAGGCTGGCAGGGGAGGGCAGTGGGGACAATCGGGCCAGCAGGGTAGCAGTTAGGCGTTGATCAGGCTGGCAGGGAAGTGGTTAGGGGTGATCAGGCTGGCAGGGGCAGCTGAGGAGGCAGGAGAGCGTTGGGAGCCAACAGATCCGGATTGTGAGAGGGATGTCCAACTGCCAGTTTAGGCCCGATTCCACTGGCAGTCGGGCATCCCCCGAGGGGTCCCAGATTGGAAAGGGTGCAGGCTGGGTTGAGGGACCCACCCACCCCCCGTGCATGAATTTCATGCACCCGGCCTCTAGTATGAAATATATTTCAGGGTCTCTCCCTGAAACCCTGTCTTTATCTTACCCTCCCTGCCACTCTCACGAAAAAGTAAGCAATCTCTCATATGAGGTCTGCGGCTGGTCATGTTTATGGGAGGGCCTGAGCTTGCTGAAGAAGAGGGATGCTAATTTAACTGTACTTTAATGAAGAGCTCAGTGGGTGGGAGAATGAAGAGTGATTAAAAATGTGCATTTTCTTAACTTCCTGAGCTTATGCATCCCAGGGGACTGTACTAATTCTAGGTTAGAAGCACTTCAGTTACTCTGCCCAGGATTGGGGAAGCACACGGGTGCCCTCCACATCCCAGGCGAGGTATGGGTGGCTGGAACTAGAGACCAGAACCCCATTAGCTTCTTCTCTGATAACGCCTCAAACTGGACTAATAGTTTCCCAAATTCAGATGAATTCAACAAGTTGTCACCAGTGCTTACTGGCACTGAGGACGATGTTAAACTCTGGAGCTGGCGGGGAGGACACCCACTGGGGTCATTTATCCTGATGTTCTCTCTTTGGCCCTTTCAACCTGGTGTCTTATTTTAAGCTTCATTGTTTTAATAATCTTCTAATTTAACTCTCATACAGGAGCATTCTGAAAAGTCCCAACAGCATGTTCTTCTCTCTCTCTCTCTCTCCCTCTCTCCTCCCTACTCGCCTCCCTCCCTCCACTCTCCCCTGTTTGTTGCGAGTTTGCTC